ATCAGTCCATCTCAGTGAAGGTCCTCTTCCTTTTTGGCTGACTTTCTAATTTACCAAGCATGACACCTTTCTCCAGGGACTGGTCCTCCTGTTAATGCATCCAAAATACATGAGGGGAAATCTTCATATCTTAAGGAATTTTCCTCCATGAGAGTTCAAAGAACTTTTTCATATTTTGTATGCATTAGGATAAGTGTCATAAAAAATTCAGATATTAGTAAATAGAGGAAAGGTTGGAACCTCATACACTGTAGAAACATAAAATGTACAGCCCCTTTGGAAAACAGTGTTGGAATCACCTCAAAAGGTAAACATAGAACTCAATAATTCTACCCTGAGGAATAGATATAAGAGAAATGAAAATATCTCATCAGTTTTATAATACTGCAACGATTGTCTTGAATAAACAGAAATTATCTCTCTCGCAGTTTCTCACTGTCTTCAAATTGCTTCCTACTCATAGTGACCCTGTGGGTTTCCAAGACCACAACACTTCATGAGAATAAAAAGACTCATTTTTCTCCCTTGGAGCAGTTGCTGGTTTCAAACTGCTGACCTTGAGGTTAGCAGCCCAATGAGTAACCCACCCCACCACCAGGACTCTCCAAGATGGGAAGGCTAGAAGTCTGAATTCAGAGAGCCCTGTGTTGGCTCTGGAGGATGCCCCTTGTCTCTTCTTAGTTGCTGTTCCTGGGTGGTCTTCAAGTGGCTTCTACATTCTCCCCAATCCCTGAAGTTTGTTTAATCTCTCGTGTATCTCAAAAGAGATCCACTAAAATACAGCCTACACTAATCCTATTTTATTAACACAGTAAAGACAACCCATTTCCAAATGGGATTATAACCACAGGCATAGATATTAGAATTATAAAACATATTTTGGTGGGACATAATTTGAACCATCACATATATATTCACACAAAAACTTGTACATGAATATTCAAAGTAGGATTATTTATAACAGTCAAAAAAGAGAAATTACCTTTGTGCCCATTAACTGATGAATGGATAAATAAAATGTGGTCTGTCCATACAAACAAACATTATTTGCCTAAAATAATGAAGTATGATTCGTGTTATACCATAGATATGCCTTGAAACATATTTAAGTGAAATAAGCCTATCAAGATGATCACCTATGGTATAATTTCATTTATATAAAAATAAAATTCCATAAAGGCAGAAAGTAGATTTGTGATCGCCAGATCTAGGGACCTTAGAGGAAATGACATATAAAGATTCTATTTGAGGTGATTAAAATCTTCTGAAATTGATCATGATGATAGTTGTACAACTCTATACCAGAAAACACCGGGTATGTAAACTTTACATGGTTTATTTATGTGTTTCAAAGCTTGGCATAAGGTTTTCAGTGGCTTCTTCCTTCAAAGTGGGCATTCAAGTCCTTCTTGGTTATCTGTTCTAAATCTGGAAGCTCCACTCTGGGTGACTCGCTGCCATTTGAAATACCAGTGGCATAGCTTCCACTATCACAGCAATACCCAAACCACCACAGTACGGCAAACTGTCAGACAAGTGTTTTCACAATCATATCACTACTGATATCAGATGGATCTTGCTGAAAGCAGAGTGATAACAGAAAGATGTTTGCTTGTGTTTTATTAACTATGCCAAGGCATTCAACTGTGTGCATCGTAACAAACCATGGATGACCTTGAAAATAGGAATTCTAGAACATTTCATTGTGCGAAACTTGTACATAGATCAAAAGGCCATGGTGGGAACAGAACAGGGAAATATTGCATGGTTTAAAACCAGCAAAGGTTGTAACAGGGTTGTACCCTCTTATAATACTTATTAAATTTGTATACTGAGCAACTAACCAGAGAAGCTGTATTATATGAAGCAGAATGAGGTATCAGAACTGGAGGAAGATTTATTAACAACCTGTGTTATGCAGGTAACACCACCCTTCTTGCTGAAAATGAGGAGGACATGAAGCATTTGCTGATGAAGATCAAGGATTGCAACCTTCAGTATGGTTTTCAACTCAATGTGAAGAAGAACAAAATCCTCACAACTGAACCAATAAGCCACATCATTATACATGGAGAAAAGGTTGGAGTTAAGGATTTGGTCTTGCTTGAATCCACAAATAATGTTTATGGAAGCAGCAGTCAAGGGATCAAAAGATGTGTTGCATTAAGTAAAACTATTGCATAAAGCAAGGATGTTACTATGGGGATTAATGTGCACCTGACCCAAACTTGGTATTTTCAATTGCCTTATCTGCATGTGAAAGTTGAACATTGAATAATAAAGACCAAAGAGGAATTGGTGCATTTGAATTGTGGTGCTGTTGGAGAATATTGTCAGCACCCTGGATTGTCAAAAGAACAAACAAATCTCTCTTGGGAGGAGTACGGCCAGGGCTCTGCTTAGAGGCAAGGGTGGAGATTTCATCTTACACACTTTGGATCTATTGTTGGGAGAGACCAGTCCCAGGAGAAAGACGTTGTGCTTGGTGAAATAGAGGGGCTACGAAATAGAGGAGGCCCTCTGGGAGACAGACTGACACTGTGGCCGCAAGAATGGGCTCAAGCATAGGAACAATTGTGTGGATGGCTCAGGAGCAGGCAGTGCTTTGTTCTGGTATGCATAAGGTCACTATGTGTTGGAACCAACTCAATGGTACCACCACCAACATATGCTGTGTGAATTATATCCCAATGGAACATGCTACATGTTTTAAGAGAGATGGAAATAGGAAGGTCTTAAAGAAATAATGGTAATACTAATAAAAATAAGTTAATTCACTCTTTCTGGCCTCATTTCCCTTCATGCTCTATCTATAATGACCTGCTTGAAATTCTCTCAGTACAAGAGAGGTTCAAAACATTTTCCCATAATTTTTTAAAAGCATCTTCATGTCTTTGGTGCCCTAAGAATATATTATACCCGAGCCTCGGTTTCCTGGGACTGCCATAACAAAATGCTGAAAGTGGGTCGCTTTAAAACAAAGAAATATGTTTTCTCATATTCATGGGGGCTGAAAGTACAAATCAGGATACCAGCAACGCTAATTCTTGCGAAGTAATGTGCAATCAAACTCTCCCTTGCTTCTCTCTTAGTTTCTGGTGCCTGTTGGCAAACCTTCATGTTCCTTTGCCGCTTCTAGATGCATCTGCCTCTGTGATCACATAGCACCTGTGCAATCCCTATGTTTCACTCTGCTTCAGTGTCCGTCCTTCTCTTTTATAGGACTTCACTCAGAAGAGATTGGAATTAGGGCCCACAATTCTCCCCTCTGACTTCTTTGTCTTAAGTGATAATATCTGAAAAGAAAAAGTGAACTTCACCAAAGCGGTATCATTCCCTGGCACAGAGATCAGTATCAAAATATAACACAATTCAATCTGAAAACAATCTGCTTCCTGGAATTCCCTTCATCCTTCTTCTCCTGTCTAACTTCTACATATTAAAATTAGTCAGAGCAAGCGAATTATTAGATATTTACTTGCAAAATCCAGTGGCAAGAAATTATAAACATGTGTTTTCTCACTCCCAGATGACTTGGACATCCAGTATCTCACCTCTATCGACTCCATCATTCCAGGAGTCTTGTAGGCGTCTACTGTATCCTTTGTAGAGTTCAGCCTGTAAGACATCGACATGGATAAGAGTTTAAGCCTATGAGCCCTGGTGGTATAGTGGTTATGTGTTGAACTGCTAGGCTCAAGGTGAGCAGGTTGAAACCACCAGCCTCTTCTCAGGAGAAGCATGAGGCTTTCTATTCCCGCAGAGAGCTACAGTCTCAGAAACCCACAGGGGCAGTTCTACCCTGTCCAACAGGGTCACCATGAGCCGAGACATCAACTCACTGGCAGTGAGTTTTGAATGGAAAGGAGATCGGTGATGGTGTTGAGTAAGCATTGAATTGCTAACTCCAAGGTCATCAGTTTAAAATCCTCCAGCTGTGGGAGAAAGAAGGGGTCATCTGCTTCCATCAAAATTTAGTCACACTGTGAGTCAGAATCGACTAGGTGACAGAGGTTGATAAGGAACTACCCAAATGATTCCTTCTGTTTTGAACAGGGTATATATTGAAATAATAACAGTATATTTAATAACCTTGGGTTCAGTACAGAGATTGCAAATTTATGACTGTTTATAAAATACATATTGTAATACACTCCCCTCTTTGTACTGGATTCTCCTGAATAGAGTGGAGATTTGTTTTTAAAGCTCAGCGATCATTTATTTTTTGATAATAATTGGGCGTAGGAGGAGAAAATGCTATTTAACATCTCTATTGAGGATCTTAAAAGGAGGCCAGGTGTAGTGAGTTATGAGTCAGAATTCACTGGATGGCAGAGAGTTTGTTTTCATGACGTAACACTATGGTGCAAACTGGAACTAAAGTAAACTTTCCTTAAAGTGCTATTTAATAAAATTGGAAGGCAGTCCTTATGACAAAACGAAATATGGCATAGGACACCCAGATTTCTTATCAATTAGCTTTCAAACCCGAATTCCACTGCTACCAATGGGAATACGGCGTGTAGGCTATAGCAGGAGAAGTTTGAAAGCACTCACGTTTATGGAAGTCTAAAGGAAGAAGCTCTCTTTTAGTGTTTAGGATTGTCCTCGACACATTTATTCTAAAAGATAACATAGCCTAACGGCTTCCTCTGCGTTAAATCTTTACAAAATTGAACTCCCGAAAAGGTCACCAAATTCGACACCTGACATGAGTTCATTCGCTCTTTCAGTGAGATAGGGCATACTTGTTAATTAGCCGTCCCAAACCCAGCCATCCCAAAGCACCTGCTACTCGGGAGTAGAATCCAGAAGAGACTCCCGGTGGCAGAGTTGCAGACAGATCTGTAATCATCGGGGCGGGGAGGGGCCTAAGGCGGGGCCTCCCTGCGAGGGAGGCGGCGTTGTTAGAAAGCTGTGGGGCCAACCTCCGGTTGGCTGTCACTACTCGAATTGAGCCCTGTAGTATCTAGCATGCTAGGACTCTGCTTTGAGGGTAGCACTCTCAATGAACACAAGTAGCCTCACTTGGCATTTGGGGGGATTCTTCAACCAAAGGAGGCTCGTCCTCCGGGATTGCCAAGCACTGTGAGCGGTACAAGAGACGAAGGTGGCAGAGCTGCGGTTTCTCCCACCAGCCTGTACAGAGAGGTCGCGGGAGTTCCCCCAGGAAGGACCTGAGACTGAGAGACGCAATGGGAGGTGCACCCTTTGCACGCGTTTGGAGCCAGTAGAGGAATCGGGCGACTCGGGCGTGTTTCCTGCGGACCCGTGAGTACTCTGCGTCTCCCTGCCGGGAGCGACCGGAGCCTGAGAACTTTTGGAGAACTCTCCTAGCGAGACCGCGAGAACTTGACCGCTCCCCTCTCTGCAGAACCACTGCCACCTCCTTCTGCCAACGGGATGGAAAGCAAGCACGGGCGCTGACCAGCGCCGCCCCCTTGAGACCCGGGAGGTGGAGATCCCTGGGGCCAGCCAAACTCAACTCCCATCTTCTCCTCCCCGTGTGCCTATATTCCCAAGCCCCCTCCTCCTTCCCCTTTCCCGCCTCCGTAAAGACGGGGGGAGGAGGAGGAGAAAAGGGGCGACCAAGTCACCATGACTGAGTTGAAGGCAAAGGATCTTCGGGCTCCCCACGTGGCAGGCGGCGTGCCCTCCCCAACCCAGGTCGGATCTCCCTTGCTGGGTCGCTCCGACGGGGGCCCCTTCCACGGGAGTCAGTCCTCGGCCGACCCGCCCATCTCCCTGGACCGGCTGCTCTTCCCTCGGCCGGGCCCGGGGCGGGAGCACCAGGACGCAAAGACGCCCGACCCGCAGTCGCTCGCGGACGTGGAGGGCGAATATTCCGGGGCTGAAGCCTCCAGGAGCGCCGGCGGCGGTAGCTCCGGGCCCCCAGAAAAGGACAGTGGCCTGCTGGACAGTGTTTTGGACACGTTGCTGGCAACGTCGGGTCCCGGCCACAGTCACGCCAGCCCTCCCTCCTGCGAGGCGGCCAGCCCTTGGGGTCTCTTTGGCCCCGAGCTTCCCGAAGATCCCCGGGGCGCCCCAGCCATCCAGGGGACTTCGTCTCCACTCATGAGTCGCCCAGGAGGCGGCAAGGTAGGCGACGTCGCCGGAGCGGCTGCAGCCCACAAAGTGATGCACCGGGGGCTCTCGCCGTCCCGCCAGCTGTTGCCCCAAACGCCCGGGGCCCCTGCGTGGTCCGGGACCCCAGTCAAGCCAGCGCCGCAGCCTCTGGCGGTGGAGGGGGAGGAGGAGAGCGGCCCGGAGGCCGAGGGCTCGGCGAGCCCCCTGCTGAAGGGCAAACCCCGGTTTCTGGGAAGCGCGGTGGCCGGAGGAGGAGGAGGAGGAGCGGCGGTCAGCGTGCCCGGGGTGGCGGCAGGAGGCGTCGCCCTGGTCCCCAAGGAAGATCCCCGCTTCCCGGCGGCGCCCCGGGGGGAGCAGGATGCGCCCGTGCGCTCCCCGCTGGCCTCCTCGCGCATGGACTTCATCCACGTGCCCCTGCTGCCCATCAACCCGGCCTTCCTGGCGGCGCGCACCCGGCAGCTCCTGGAGGGCGCCGAGAGCTACGACGGCGGGGCCGCGGCCCCCAGCGCCTTCGCCGCGCCGCCGCGGGGCCTTCCTGGCGGCGCGCACCCGGCAGCTCCTGGAGGGCGCCGAGAGCTACGACGGCGGGGCCGCGGCCCCCAGCGCCTTCACCGCGCCGCCGCGGGGCTCGCCCTCCGCCTCGTCCACCCCCGGCCCGGGCGGCGACTTCCCCGACTGCGCGTACCCGCCCGACGGCGAGCCCAAGGAGGACGCGTTCCCGCTCTACGGCGACATCCAGCCCCTGGCCCTGAAGATCAAGGAGGAGGAGGAAGGCGCCGAGGCCGCCGCGCGCCCCCCGCGCCCC